TTAAAGAGCTAGAGTGATGATGATGCAATACCTTCGCCCCTGGGGGTCGGGGTCCTTATATACTAGTATCCTGACATGTCAGGTGCAACCGCCTCCGAATCTCTGTTGCAGCGATCTGTTGTCAAATAATGGATTGGAGTGGCTGGCCGTTATTTGTCAGAGCTGAGCTGGCGGGCAAGGGTGATTGCTGCAAAGTACGGTCCTGCCAAACAAGAAACAACCTCCAGGGTTGGCAGGCACAACGCCGCCAGGCGAGAGACATGGGCGCAGTCTCCGAGTTTGGCAGATACGGTTGTTGGGCAAAAAACCCCCTGCGATACGCCAAGCTGCTTTGCAACGAGCTACCTTACACCGAGCTGCTGGTGATGCGCCGAGGTGCTTCTACCCGAGGCAGGCCTCCGAGGTAGCCTACTTAGGTTTGGACAGGAGCGAGCTTATTCTAGTTAGGGAGCTGACGAGCTTAACCCAAAGTGTCTTCAGTTCGAGATGCTCCCTACTTGGGAGGGTCTTAGCTCGGGGTGCTCCCTTATTTGGGAGAATCTTAGCCCGGGGTAACGGAGTATTATCTTGTAGCGAGTTGTCAGGCTGGGTTATAGCGAGCTTGTTACGCCAAGTTGTAGCGAGCTCGTTATGCTGAGTTGTCACTTATGTCGAGTCACGTCCACGTATCCCCTTATTATGAGGTCGGGCTAAATCACCCTCCATCAATTGCCCCCACTCCCAAGTTGAAAGCAGCTTGATGAAGGGAGTAGATCGTTCCTTTTTGCCTGGAATGACTGATTCGATAAGCTTGTAGGCGTAAGCATTGGTCAAATTTGCTTCTTAGGTCGAAAGAGTCCAAGTGTTTGCAACCTCACATAGGACCTCACCGTCCTGATTATCGGGGCACAAAGGTACCCCGAGGACATCTACCTCGTCAAGGGGTTCTGCAATCCGACCATTACCTCAAGAGTGAAGTTTATCATGCCATCCTCAAGAGAGGGTTGTGACTACTTTATCAGGTCGCTCCACCTAGGTAGACTTCGACGTAGTGTTTCTCAAGCTGGTTCTCAAAAGAGTAGCCAGCGAGTTTGATGCGGAGCTAGGAACCAAGGTGGAGATCGACCGTGAAGAGATTGGCCAAGTTTGTGTCCATCATGATGTTGAAAGCAAAGTAGTCTTTCCTTTGTTTTTTCTTTCTTGTGTTGAATCAATCTTCCTTCCATCGTTTCTTTTTCTCTCTTTTTTCTCCAAAAAAATTTCTAAGTGTGAATTCACCCGAGGTGCTGAACTGAATGCACACCGATGAGGCTAAACGCGAACAACTTTTTTTTTATTTTGCCCATGCCGAAGAAACAACTAGGTATATGTCCGAACTGACGTGGATAAGTGTGGATTACTAACGAAGTGTCAGGCTAACGAGCTTGACTCTAATAGGAATAACCCGATCTCAATGTATGCCGAAGTGAATAGACATTGTAGGGTATGTGCCCGTCCTACCTGCGCACAAGCTACTTTTTTATTTGCCCATGCCGAAGAGGCGACTAGGTCTCATGTTGTGCCAAAATCTTTTATCAGCTTAGCACCTTAGCCCTTGGGCTCTGGGAGCGACTTGCGGTCCACTCTCCTGTATTTAGCCAATGTGCGACCTGACCTTTCCGCCTAAGCGGGTGGTCATTCTGTAGTAACTTCTCATATGGTTGCTTCTGCCGAGGTCTTTTATCATCTTGGCACCTTAGCCCTTGGGCTCTGGGAGTGACTTACGGCCCACTCTCCTTATCTTTATTTATTTGACGTGCAACCTGACCTTTCTGCCTAAGCGGGTTGCTTCTATGTCATCCCGTGGGATTATCTTCTTGGGTGAGTGCTTGCGAGACCATAACGTACATGTTTTGCCCCCCTTGCGAGGGCATAACGTTGTTGTCGGTGTGAGTCGACAGTTCAAGTCCACGACTGCACTGCATCAGCCTCGTTAGTGACATCGGTCATCCACTTCTACAAGAAGCCACTGGGAGCTCGACCTGCGTGGGCGGCACTATTGCCAGCTCGCACGAGAGCCTTGGAAGGCTCGACCTGCAAGGGTGTCCGTTGGCCGTCGACTCTTGCGGGAGCCACGAAGAGCTTGACTTGTAGAGGCGACCTCGCGAAACGGAGCTAATGAGGCCTCGTCCTAGCTGATTGCTATTGAGGATGAGTTGAGGTCGTTTTGCTACTATCTACATCGGGCTTCTCCCATACTCAGATAAGAAAATTCATGCTTCTTCTCATAGAACTACTACGCTTCAATCCCGGCGGGAACCACTAATGGCTCTACCGCGGGGAGAGGGGCATTCACATACGGTACCGGGGTATTTATCTGGAGCACTGGGGATGTTGAGTTTTAGCCTGAACTTGTCTGATTTGTCAAAGGGGAGTTCTCCAGGTTCATCACAGATGTTTTTTGCCCCCCAGTAATCGGTATTCGTTCTGAGTGTTGATGCTGCTCAAAAGTGCTTTTTAGAGGTGAGAACTTAGCTTCTTGTAGCGATTCCCACAGACGACGCCAATTGATGGTGCGCGATCTGGTCACTCCTAGCTGGCGATGGACGAGAGGTACCTGTGAGGAAGAAGATGAAGGAACCCGGGGGGCTCACCCGACGGGAACACTCTGATGGTTAAGCTAGTAACCGGATTGAAAGCTGGGAGAGAGAGAGAGAGAGTTGCAGAGAAATTAAAGAGCTAGAGTGATGATCACGCAATACTTTTGACCCTGGGGGTTGGGGTCCTTATATACTAGTATCCAAACATGTTAGGTGCAACCGCCTCCGAATCTTTGTTGCGGTGATCTGTTGTTAAATAACGGCTTGGAGTGGCTAGCTGTTATTTGTCAGAGTTGAGATGGCGGGCAAAGGTGATCGCTGTAGAGTATGGTCCTTCCAGACAAGAAACAACCTCCAGGGTTGGCAGGCACAACGCCGCTAGGCGAGAGATGTGGGCGCAGTCTCCAGGTTTGGCAGGTACGGTTGTTAGGCAAAAAACCCCCTGCGATACGTTGAGCTACTCTACAGCAAGCTACCTTTCACCGAGCTGCTGGTGATGCGCCGAGGTGCTTCTACCCAAGACAGGTCTCCGAGGTAGTTTACTTAGGTTTGGACAGGAGTGAGCTTATTCTAGTTAGGGAGCTGACGAGCTTATCCCGAAGTGTCTTCAATTCGGGATGCTCCCTACTTGGGAGGGTCTTGGCTCGGGGTGCTCCCTTATTTGGGAAAGTCTTAGCCCGGGGTAACGGAGTATTATCTTGTAGTGAGATGCCATTTGCGGCGATCTGTAATGCTGGGTTATAGCGAGCTTGTTACGCTGAGTTGTAGTGAGCTCGTTATGTTGAGCTGTCACTTATGTCGAGTCATGTCCACGTGTCCCCTTATTATGAGGTCAGGCCAAATCACCCTCCATCAGCCCCTTAATAAAACACGGGTGACCATGGGTCCATGCCCTTGAACAATTTTTTCACTTAGTTTGGGAGTACTTTTAGAATAACAACCATGGATCCTGCCCTTGAACATTTTCTCGTTACTTTAGGTGATCATGTTGCTATTTTCATATGACAAAACAAATAATTTATAGTGAAAGGTCTATTAAGTAAATAGATTGCAAATTATAAGGGATGTAATAGTAAAATGCAAACTATAGGGTATGGTTAAGTAAACCTGTGAAACTATAAGGGGTGTTATAGTAAATGACCATTATTTTTTTTCGTTAATACTTAATAGCAATATGAATTATCACTTTTAAGACAATATGTAAAAGTAATGTATAGAGTACGTATTGTTAAGAGAACTAGTAACTGTGCACGTGCTTTGCATGTGGCGGTTCTAGATTATGATAATGATAGTAATAATATATCAAAAAATTTCTATAAATTTTGTGTTTTTTAGTGTTTTATTTTTATATATTTTGGTTGTTTTTTGTTATTAATCAGATGAAGGTTGTAAAATCCAAATATAATTACATAAGCACCTCATCCAAATATGTGATAATCGATCGAGTTGTGTTGGTTAGACTATTTTCTTTTGTAGTGTTTTAATTTTGTGGTGTATCTTTATCTTTTGTTCATTTATAAAAAAATGTAAGGTTTAAATGGAGAGAATTAAATTAGGTGAAAAGTAATAGTTCAATTTGCAATTTAAACATTATAGTTAAATAGGAACTAAACTCAAAAAATGAGTATTTTAGTCCAAAGAAAGTTCCACAATTTTATTCGTATTTTTAATAGCTATGGAATTATAGATGCGTTCAAATTTTTTCCATTTTGTTGTCTTTTTGTGTGAAAATAATTATGACACTTACTTTTTATTTAATACGACAAATATATGATATTATACATGTGCCTAATGCTTTCTTGCAAAATTTATGTATTTTTTCATTTTGTATTTTATATTTTAACTTTTATTATTTATTTATGGTATTAAAGATTAACACATTTAATCCGAAAGTTGAATTATTTATTATTAATTTTTATATTTCACTTTTCATTATCAATAAAAATAATTATATTTTATTACACTTATTTTTTAATTTGATTAATAAAAAAATCATAAATATTTAATTTTTTACATTTTTTTATAATTTTCTATATTTATTTTCATTTAAAAAATTTGATTATCTAATTATAATTTCATTGGTTGATCAATTTGATTGGGATGGTTGAATTGCTTAGTTACTATTTGGATAAAAAATAATTTTATTTTTGAATCAATTTTAACATATATGGATTTATTTAATTAAAAATATAGAGATAGATAGCATTTATTAGTAAAAAATAATTTAAAAATATAGAATTTAATAAAGAGAATTAAATGAGGTAAATATATTGTAGATATATAAAAGTAATGGATAAAGTAGTCAATTTGCTAAACCATAAAAAGTAAGGAAAATTGCAAAAAAAAAAAAAAAACAAATCGTATTACCGTAGTTTCCTTCCAATCAAAGGTCGTATTTGTACTATCATATATATTGCTCTCTCCTAATGCGGAGTGGTTCTGGATTTCTGCCTTTCTGGCACTCCTCGAAAACAGTCTCGGACATATTTTTTCGGGAAGAAATAATCAGACAGGAATTAGGTGATTCAGGATTCCATTTCCATCCATGGATTCCAGCCAACTTATCGACTCTCTCACTGCTCACGTAGCCTTGTATCACTCATCCGCTTCTTCAACATCTTCATCTCCTTCTATCAACCCTAGAGCCTCAATACTTCGCTGGTTTTCATCTCTCAATGTGCACCAGCGACAATCATCTCTCACAATCGTCGACGCCAAGTTTACCCAAATTCTCATTCAAATGCAGAAAAAGCTACATAACCACGGCCATGGTTTCTTCATCATCCTACCCGATCTTCCCTCTCGCTATCATCCGTCCCTCCCCAGTCTCTGCTTTCGAAGATCGAGAGGTCTCCTAGCTAGGGCCAGTTCTTCTAACGAGTCGGAACTGTCGATCTTTAATGCGGTGCAAATGTTCAGTTCCATAGAAGGAGAGGGAGTTGAAGGATGTTCCTGTTCCGTTGGTGGCCTTGACTCAATCACTGTTTCTGAAGATTTTGTCGGGGAGTTGAATCATTTTGTTGCGGTGATGGACGGCATTTCCAATGGGCAGTTTCTGAGAGGCGAAGGCAGCATCTTGGGTTCTTCTTGGGAAGAATTACCGTGGCTGAAGGCAAAAGGATATTACAGCATGGAGGCATTCGTGGCGAACAAGTTGGAACTCGCTTTAAGGTTGTCATGGTTGAATTGCAATGCAGGAAAGAAGCGCGGACCAAAATTGAAAGAGAAAGCCAATATTGCAGGTATAGCGGCAAATGTCTACTGGAGGAAGAAAGGATGTTTAGACTGGTGGATTGGGTTGGATTCTTCCGTGAGGAAGAAGACTTTTCGGGTAGCTTTAGGCAAAGCGGCCAAATATCTGGTACTTTTCGGGAACTTGGCTCCTCGACGTGGTTTTATTTCTTCTTTGTTTTTATACAACATTCCCAATGAATTCAGCAATGTGGATAAACTCTCAAATGGTCATAATTAAGATTCGCCGAAGGGGAAAGTAAAAGGGAAAAAAGCCATAAGGGGGCAGCTCTCTTGTCAGCATAGTACCTCAATATCGAGTGCTTAGTCAAAACGCAGTAACGGTGGCAAGAGAAAGAGTTTCCCCTCCAACTGTTCATAAGATGTATCAATCTGCCCCCTCCGTCCATGGAAAAAAAATGTCAAAAGAAAAATTTTAAATCCACTTACCGTTAGGTGTCAATGAGCCCAGTGGTCAATGATAATGCTTGAAGCTGTTAATTTATCCATAAGAAGCCTGACTGATAGGTACATCCCTGTCTCATCAAATATACACGTGGGAAGTATTTATTTGCATGGTTTCTCTTTTTTTTTTTATTTTTATTTTTTGATGATCAACGCATGGTTTCTCTTTAGTCCTGCGAAGCTCCTGCCTGAGTTGAGAGATGACACGGATTTCAAATCTTAGAGTATAGTGGACAGATTAATTGATTAGTTATTTAAATTCCCACCAAGTTGCCGTGTAGAGCTCTGCTGCAGCTTGCCGATAAAAGCATATGCTATTATGCTATTAAAGTTGCTTTCATATACTTTTGAAGTTTGAACTTGCAGGGTGTAAGGTTTATGTCATTTCAGGTCATTCTACATGGCTACAGAGAGTCAGATCAGAGGCATTATAATACACTCCCTATCCAAAGAAAAAGGGAAAAAAACCCTTGAGGGCTGCTGACCAATCAGCTCCCAAATACTCCCACAAGCTAGGTAAGTAGGGCCAAGCCATAGTACCACTCTCCTCCTCCCTACATTCCCCTGGCTGGTGAATTGGCTAGCTCATTAACTCACCTCTGGGTTTAACCGAATATGATGTTTCCTTAGATGCTAAAGACCTAGCCTCTTTGATATGATGCTGCAACTCTCAAGGACCTCATCCTCCATTCATCCTATCAATCATTGCCTGGAAATCTCCTACCTGTGTCTAATGTTGTGTTTGGTACCATTGCCACTTCTATTTGCAATGTTTTAGGTCGGTAAATACAAATTTTATGAGAATATATTATTTTCTATAACAACTACTTTGAGTTATCAATACAACCTTTGATACCATTGTTGTTTCTTGAGAAAATGTCAAATTTAGTGTTTCTACTATAAATGCCAACACCCAATGTGATGTCTATGTTTTTTTAGTGGAAGTGGTTATCTGATGTGATGCGACAAGACGATTTCTCAAAAAGTTGTATTAACCAACCTAAAACATTGCAAGTAGAAGTGGCAATGGTACAAACACAACCTAAGATAGTCTAGAGATGCCTTTGAAGGTCCTTCAGAAGGGAAAGCAACCCTGCACTAGAATCACCATATCCTATTGGACAAGATCACACTTACAAATCCCCTTGGCCCTTAACGAAGGCCTTTGCTTTGTTGGGATCATGGTTCACAATTTCGATATTGATGACACTGTGCCATGCAGAAAAGGGGAATTTTACTAATTTCACCAAAATATTTGGAAATAAAGAAAGGGGAAATTATAAAAACATGAAATTTGTTAATTGTTAGAAGAAGTCCAATTGAACAACATTGAAGACACAAAAAAACTGTAGCAAACAACTGAGTATGAAAGTAAGAGTTTTTTTTTTTGATCGATGAAACTTATATTATATTATATTAAAATATGTGAAAAAAACATTACAAGTTTAATTTAATGACCATAGTGTTGGCCCAACAACCAACACTATGTTACAAAGATGCCCAAAACAATTGCTGCCTATCTACCCCTTGTTTAGCAAGGGGGTTAGCTAGCCCATTTGTGCTTCTTCTAAGCCATTTAAATTCAGCTCTCTTGCAACCCTTTCTATTTCCTTGAAAGCATTCTTGAGAGTCCATGGACTATGTCTGTTATTTCTTGCCCAAGAGGTGATAACTTTGGAATCCCCTTCCACTTCCACTTGTCTGAGGTCCAATGGCTTAGCTATCCTAAGACCTTGTAGTAAAGCCAATAATTCATCTCTAATGGAGTTAGCCACACCAATTAACCTAGAGTAAAGGGCCTGCAATCTGCCCCCCGGATTTTTGATTGCCCTACGAATACCTGCCATACCAGGATTGCCTAACGAGCTTCCATCAAAATTCAGCTTAACTTTACTACCTTGTGGGGGTTACCAATCTATTTTTATGCTGTCTTTTTTTCCTAGAGGATTGTGCTATCTCCTTCTAAGCTCTTAGAATATCGATCATTTTGAAAAGCACTCCATGTTTTTGATCCAGAATGCAACCTTCACTTTTATTGTCTCAATAACTTCCTCCAACAATCTACTTTTGCCATTGAAAATTCTGTTGTTCCTTTCCTCCCAGACTACCCACACAGTTGCAGCCTTAGTAACTCTCCACATCAATCTTCCTCTTTTCTTTGATTGCCTTTGGAAGTTAGGCTTGAACCTTCCTGGGGAGGGATCCACCTGCAGCTGAAAAGATCACAGAAAAATATTCCCAGATAAGAGAGACAAAGGGACAAGGAATAAATAAGTGGGGTAAGGTTTCTCCACTTTTCCTACACAACAAGCATTTTTGAGGAGAGAGGCAACGAAAAGGCCTTCTTTTCTGCATTGCGTCACAAATGTTAACCTTTCCAAGGAAAGATTCCTAGCATAGAGCTTGAACCTTAGATGGGATAGGGTTAGACCACACTTCTTTGACTGGGAAGTCCACCCCTTGTGAAGTAGGCGAAGATAAGGACTTGAAAAACGAAGAACAAGTGAAAAGTCCATCCGGTGAGGGAACCTAGATTCTAGAATCTTCCGAAAATGGGTCCAAAAAAGTAGTTTCCAGGATATTAAGAAGGTTAACCAAAGATGTACACTCACTCTCCCTTAAACCTCTTATAAAACCCAAGTCCCACTTGAGGCCCGAGGGAGAGGAAGTGCACAAAAAGGACATAGGAACATATTTAAGCCTAAAGAAGGCAAAAAGGTTAGGGAACTAATCTTTTAAAGGAGCCTCCCCTACCCAAAGGTCTTCCCCAAGGTTCGAAATTTTGATACGTATCAGACCATATTGGCATCGTATCAGGAGCCACCCGATACACCCCTACAGGGGGTGTTTTGGGGTCTCGACCAGTTCAGAGGGTGGATGGACCTTAAACCGGTCCCTTTGAACCAGATTTGAAAAAAAAACTAAAAAAAAGCTATGTGTATGTTGATCGTGCCTTTTAGTTATATGGCACTAAACAGAATGGAATGGAAAAACCATGGTTTTCAAAAACCGGTCAGGTGACCGGTTCCGTTTTCCCCAAAACCGGATTTTCCCCAAAAACCGTTGATTTTGGTCAGCAAACTGCTGACCCGAGCGGTTAACTGTTCGAACGGTTTTGACTATTTTTTATTTTTTTTAAATTTTTTATTTTTTTGTCGGAACGGGCCATCCATTTGGCCCAGGAACCGGACCCCTGACCGATTCGTTCTCCAGGTCGGTTTTAAAAACCTTGGGCAAAACATGATTCATGTAGATTGATCAGAAAAAGAAAAGAACATGATTCATGTAACCGATCCCATATAATTGGGACAAGGCTTTAGATGATGATGACCTCTTAGTTTTAGGCCTTTGAGTATCTTACCTCAAATTGTCTTCATTTTGATGTCCTATATGAGCTACCTGAATTCAAGTATGCAAGCGCTTATTTATTTATATGTATTACCTCTTAGTTCTTGACCTCTGTTGGTTGGTTGGTTGCTTGTATGGATGGTTCAATATTATTTCTTTTGCACATTTGGTTTCTTGCATAAATATGACTATTGGTTCTGACTTTTGAAAGTTGTAAGTTGGCAGACAAATGAGATTGTGAAGGCGGCGAATGACACATTGGGGAATGAAGTTTGTTTTTGTAGTACAAGAGCAGAGCAGTCATTGATGTACAGTACTATCTCACATCAAAGGACTGCCAGGATGCTCTCAGTAGCTGAAGCAGAAATTTGTTTGGTCCTTCCATCTCCTACATCTGGAAAATATGGTTCCTTAGCCAATCTCTTCAAAGGACTTCTTGTGCTTCAGGAGATTTCTATGATGGTATCATCATGTCGGCATGGTGGATATGAAAAAGAAAGGCTATTTTTCAGTACACTGGGTTCTGTCCTCACCATTTCAGACTGCATACTAAGGAAATTACGAGGACTGCTTATGGTTGTTTCCAGTGATTGCATAAAACTTGAACTTCTAGGAGAGGGGAAATTGAAGGCATCCATAAATAAATCTGAACAGAAGCTTGGTGCTGGTAGCCGGAGAGGGAAAGGAAAGAGCCGTAGTCTGAAAAGGAAAAATCTTGTTCTGAAGTCATCTGGAGCTAATTTTGCAGTTGAGAAATGTCCTGAGGTATCATTTCCTTTTTCACGAACTTTATTGAAGGCTTTCTTATAGACAATTGCTTTTTGAAGAAACTGGATTTTAATTACTGCTAAGGGCTTCCTTCCAGGAGCATGAGTGCAGATTGGCCCACCCAGACCATTCCGAACTTGTTAAGGCTAATGGGGAGAGTGGTGCACATCTGGGGAAGGATTCTCATGATGAGACCTCATTACCAGGGGTTCAGATGGTAACTATTAGCTTTTCTCAATTTTATTATATTTGTCATGAATGATCAAACACTTAATGACTGGATTTCTTGTCATCAGGAACATGCCAAAAACAAGGTTCAAACTACTGGAAAGAAGCATAAGAAAGAAAGCTCTAGAAGTAAGAGATCTAACTTAAATGAAACAATTAAGCTTGATTCTGATGTAAGAACTCTACAAACTACCTCCCAGCCTGTTACTTTTCAACCTGAGGTTGCAAAAGATAACATGTTATCCAATACTTCAGCTGTTCATAATCTGCCAACTGATATTCCAATGGGTGGCAACAACATTATACCAAATTCAAGTTTTTGTATATCCACGAGTAAGCCTAATAAAGAGGATAGTGCTGAAGTGGCTCAAAACAGCCAAGAAGAGTCTGTTGTTGGTTCGACTGAATGTAGTCCTCATATTGGTTTAGAGTGTTTGTTCTTCCCAAACACAACAGCTGGAACTAATGCTACTTCTAGAGTGGAGACAGTACATGCCACACCTGCCTTAGAGCTTGATAATATCATAAAAAACAAGGAGCACATACGTGAAGGATCTGGACAGGAGCCTGATAATGTTATAACAAATAAAGAACTCAAGCATCAAAGTTCTGGACAGTTAAGTGCTACTGCTGCTGTTTCTCCATTGTTAAAAGAAAGCATCAACTTCAATGAAGAAAGCACCCTCTTTCAGAAGCAAGAAAGTGGGAACTGTTATTCTCATTGCCCCACAAGTTCTTCTGGGTGCACATCATATGAATGGCCCAGTATTGCACCTGTTCATTTCCCATCTGTCAACTCTCAGCATCTCCCAGCTGCCACTGATAGATTGCATCTGGATGTTGGTTGCAACTGGCGTAATCAGTTCCATCAATCCTATTTGTCCACAAGGCATCAGTCAAGAAATTCATTAGTTGAAGGTGGCTGCAGCCGGATCATGCCTCAAACTTCATTGAGTTTAGATTGGCCCCCAGTGGTACAAAGTAGCAGTAGGTTGACTCCTTCAGTGGCTTGTAACTATGACTCTGGATTTATTCCAAGGATGCAGTCTCCATTTCGGCAGAGTTTCACACCTCATGGCCTTCAACTTAATGGAATGATGCCTGAGGATGACAGGAAGCATTCTGGGGATGTTATAGACTCATGTGACTTAACAAAGGCATCTGAGCTAGCAGATGATTGTGATAGCCATTGGGTATCGGAAGAAGAATTTGAGATGCATGCATTTTCTGGAAGAGATTATAATCAATACTTTGGTGGTGGAGTGATGTACTGGAATACCTCGGATCATGCAGGCACAGGTTTCTCTCGTCCTCCTTCTTTAAGTTCTGATGATAGTTCATGGGCTTGGCATGAAGCGGATTTAAATAGAACCATTGATGATATGGTTGGCTTCTCTTCTTCATATAGCACAAATGGTTTGACATCTCCACCTGCATCTCCATTTTGTTCTCCTTTTGATCCTTTAGGATCTGGGCACCAGTCCCTTGGTTATGTTATGTCAGGAAATGATGTAACAAGCAAGGTTCTGCACTCTTCATCAGTGACAGATGGAGTGCCAGAAGAGAACACAACTGGATCTTTGGCTAATTCACCTGGTGGTGTTGTAGAAGGGCAGACTGGGGATTCACTTGCATATCCCATTTTGCGACCAATTATCATTCCAAACATGTCAAGGAAGGGTTCTGAGTTTAAGCTCAGTCGTGATCATAAAAGTCCATGTATTCCTCCTACCAAGCGAGAACAACCTCGGATCAAACGACCACCATCACCTGTAGTACTTTGTGTTCCACGAGCTCCACATCCACCTCCACCTTCTCCTGTTGGTGATTCCAGAAAACAGAGAGGTTTCCCAACTGTAAGGTCTGGTAGCTCTAGCCCTAGGCACTGGGGCATGAGAAGTTGGTATCACGATGGAACTAACTGTGAAGAAGCTCGCCTCTGTGTGGATGGTGCTGAGGTTATTTGGCCTTCATGGGGAAACAAAGGCCTTTCAGCTACATCAATGATTCAACCTTTACCTGGATCTCTGTTACAAGATCGCCTAATTGCAATCTCTCAGTTAGCTCTTGATCAGGAACATGTATGTTATCTGTAAAAGTTCCATGCCTATTATATGCTATTCTGATGCATTTCATTTGTTGATAAAAAAATATTTTGCAGCCAGATGTAGCATTTCCTGTGCAACCTCCTGAATTACTGAATTGTCCTGCTCGTAAGACATTAGTTTCTTTGATGCACAGTCTCCTTCACGATGAAATTGATTCATTCTGCAATCAGGTCTGAAGCTAGATAAATGCCATTTTCTGTTTCTTTATTACTTTCAATATGTGCAATCAAAGTTTCTGTCAAGTCTTACAACTTTGAGCTTCTGTTTCTATTAAGCATGTAAGCAAGTTTTCCAAGATTACTAATGGTTTGATCCTGTGGTGGAACATAAGGTTGCTGCCCAGAATTTGGCTAGGAAGCCATACATTAATTGGGCTGTTAAGAGGGTTGGACGGTCTCTCCAGGTCCTATGGCCACGGTCCAGGACCAACATCTTTGGTTCATATGCAACTGGGTTGTCCCTGCCAACCAGTGATGTGGATCTTGTGGTTTGTCTTCCTCCTGTGAGAAATTTGGTAAGAGTAGTCTCTGAAAATCTGTTTTGATAACTCCTACCAGTCATGCTTATTATGTTTATGGTAGATTTTCTTGAAAGTTATGGCTGGAATTACTTACTAGGAACCTATTAAAGAAGCTGGGATCTTGGAAGGTCGAAATGGGATTAAGGAAACTTGCCTTCAGGTACATTGCTGGTGTAGATTTTATGCTTGTCATTTATATTATATCTATAAGGTCCAACAAATTTTTTTTTTTTTTTAATTGAAATAAATGGTACAATCTGGAGCTCATAGGGAAAAAATGGAACACCAATTCAGAGGGAAAACCCCCCAGTCCAATGACACTGAGCACTGCTTTATTCTTTTTTGATAAATTTACCAAGAACCGTTATATGCCCATAACCACACTAATTAGGTAGGGCTGAACTCCACTGCAACTCATCTTCCCACCTCACTTCTAGACAGTGAGTCTGATAGCTCATGGGTAGAATAATGTATTTTCTTTTTTTTTTGGAAGGAGATAAAAGGGAATTTCATTAAACTGAAAAAAAGCAGTACATCTCAAAATGCTGGTTGTCTAGTTGACAAACCAACTTCAAAACAGAAATTACAATTTTTTTTTTTTTTTTGGAGAGGAACGACCTCTGGTTTGATGCTCCGAAGCATGTTCCTCACTGATTCCCTCCTTCCATTCCTCATATCCCTTACAGTCCAACTAAAATCCTCATCTTCCTTCCCCATTCCCTGTCTTCCCCCTCCCCTAATTTACTCAATCTCATCCAGCCCCACCTCTTCTCCTCCTTCCTCATCCCACCCCTTTATTTTTTTAAGTATTCTTCCCTCTTCTTTTTCTCTTTTCTTTTCTTTATTTTTTTTAAACTTCTCAAATGCTATTTTCACGAAGCCTTCCCTTCCCCAAAAAACCAGGCCGAGAGACTTTCCAATCTCCACCTCCCTCTCCACCAGTTTATTAGTATTTACCTTCCCATTTTGAACTATTTCCTTGACTTCTTGATTTTGTGTCTGTTCTGCTCTTTCTCTGTCCCTATCCCCAGTCTCTGAACCTTCTCCTTCTCCTTGTTTCTCTTCTTTTGAACTCTGAGTAGTGCCTCTGGGCCTTCTTTTTCTATTGTAAACCCTGTTTCATACTCCACCCCTTCCCTCCTCTCGAAGTCTTCTCTTTTCTGTTATTTTCTCTCCTATCTCTTCTTTTGTTCTTTTTCCTTCTTCCCCTTCCCCGCTGTTTGGAGTTTCCAGCGCCAGAATGCTTGGTGAGCCAGATTGACTCACCTCCATGATTCTGTGCGAAGATACCAGGTTGCTTGGATCAGATCGCACATATGTTCTTCCTTCCCTTCCTTCTGTAGCCTTACTATATTCTCTGTAGAGCTTAAAACCTGGTTGACCAAAGATCTCTTCCCCTCCTGAACATACAACCTCCCCCAAGACCCCAACTCTTCTTTGCCGGCTTCTTGAGAGATTTCTTCCTTATTGCTTTCTATCTTCGAGTTAGAGTCGGAATCCCCTTGTTTCAGCCTGTTGGAACTATCTTTTTTGATTTTCTGGGCTTCTGTTTCTTTACTTCTCTCTGAATCCACGATCTTCTCTTCTATGTTAGTTCTCTGCAAATCTCCTTCCACTGTCGAGCTTATCACTGTCCTTTTGTCTTTCTCACCTCCTAGGATCTTAATCTGTCTTCCGTTCTCGTATTTGGTCACCACCCAAATCCATTTTCTTTTTTCTTCTTCCTTGTCCCCTTTGTAGACTTGTTTCTTGGAACTCGAGTGGCCGAAACTGGTTTTCTTTGAAAAGGAGATTGTTCTTTCAATTCTACTCCTCTTGTTCACCCTTCTCTTGATTTTAATGCTAACATGTGGAAGCGGTAAACTCTTTTTCGCACCTCACTCCTTGTCACCGATTACTGATCGGCCCCCCTCTTTAAAACTATCTCCTCTTGCTGATTTGGGCCCATTAACCTCCAAGTGTCCCTTTTTCGAGAAAACTACACGTGGAGGGTGCAACTCCTCCAGGACCTTCTCGAGGAGTTTTTCAAAAAATGATTCTTCATTTCCCAGTTGCAAAACTACCTTTTTATCCCCCACTTTTCCCACATCTCTCCTCTCTCTTCCTCTTGTCCTTCCAATAGGGCTGGCACTCTTGACCCTAACCCATTTGACCCGCCCAACCCACCCAATCTATTGGTGGGTCAATATGGGTCGAGTAACCCATTAGGGTCAGTGGAAAAGGGTTAGGGCGGGTTGGGTCGAGGTTATCCATTAGGGTTGGGATGGGTTGGGTCAAAGTCAACTCTATCTATACTCGCCAAATTTCAAAAATTAGAAGTTGCATTGATTCGAACTCATGCCTCCTATTGTGGCCACATCTCATTAGACTTCCAAACCACCATGCCACATTTCATTTTGAGATTAAAAGTGAAATAAAATAGATTTTAGTAACTTTCGTGTTAACATGCAATTTATACAAAAGCACTTTCACAAAAACAATTTTATGAAAAGGACTTTTACGAAAGCACTTTTACAAAAGTACTTTTACATGAAAGCACTTTTATAAAAGTACTTTTACGAAAGTACTTTCACACAAAAGCACTTTATGAAAGTACTTTTCCGAAAACACTTTTATGAAAGCATAAAAGCACTTTTATGAAAACGCTTTTACAAAAGTACTTTTACATGAAAGCACTTTTATTGAAGTACTTTTACGAAAACACTTCTATGAAAGCATAAAATCACTTTTATAAAAGTACTTTTACAAAAGCACTTTTACACTTTTGCGAAAGTACTTTTATGAAAGCACTTTTATATATATGTAATAGTATCAAGCTAGGCTTTTATACTATAAAAGTTTTGTATTTTTTGCATTTTCTACAAATTTTTTGTTATTTTCTGCATTTTCTAGATTTTTTGGTATTTTCTGCATTTTGCAATATTTTGGTATTTTTCTACATTTTCTAAAATTTTCTGGTATTTTTCCGCATTTTTACAATTTTTTGGTGCTTTTCTGCATATTTTCTGATTTTTTCTGCAAAAGTTCTGAATTTTCTGTAATTTTTTAGTTTTTTGTATTTTCTACAATTTTTTTGGTATTTGTTTTGCATATTCTGCATTTATCTACAATATTTTGCATTTTCAGGTATCTGGGTTGACCTGACTCATTTTTTGTCATGTGGCTGTCTTGAGAGAGATTATTCTCTCAAAATTTATTATTTTGGGTATACGGGCCATCCCGACCCATTTTTGTATTTATAAGTGATGGTAGGTGGGTTAGTATGGGTGAAGGTGGTTAAGGGTCAATATGGATGGGTCAAGTGGGTCAATATGGGTGGGTTATGACCCTTTAACAAGGATTGATGATGGGTCATGGTGGGTTGGTGGGTCAATATGGGTGGGTTGGTATTCAACCCTTACCCAACCCAACCCGACCCACCCATTTGCCACCCCTATCTTCCAACTCCCCGACCTTTCGCTTTCCGTTGTCTTTCTCCTCCTGACTTGCGATCTCAGGTTCATCCAGCATCCTAATTTCCTTTGCAGAGCAATCTAACTCCTGAATTCGATCAGGCAAGACCACTGAATCCTCCTGAATCCAACGAAATGGGATGCAGCTTTCAATAACCAACCTCAAATTGTACCACTCTCCAGCAAAGTTTAACGCCATACTCAGAGGGATTAGATGTATGTTCTCTACTTTGACCAAAATTCTTGCTGCTACCAGGTTTTTAGCTTAAACGTTTGGGCATCTACTCTTCTAAAGCAACCGCAAGCATTTCTGATAGCACGAATATTTAGATTCCATGCATGGAGTGGAATTCCTAGGACATTAATCCAGATTCCAGACAAGACTCTTGCTACCCACTTCTCTAATTGCCCCCACTAGCGGATTCCATCTACCCAGCATGAGCTCCGGCGACCTGAACTTTGATATTTCTCTATCCAGAATTTTGTCTGCCTCCTCCTTGCTACAGAAGATGAAGAGAAACAAACCTGCATTTAACTTTCTCACCTGGATGTCTTCTTTTGAACTCCACTCCAATTTGACCCATTTCAATACTTCCCCTTCATCAGGTTTAGCGTTAATGAATTGCCCTTCCAGACACTTCTCTAACCAGCGCACCCTCTCTAAAGCGCCTTAGCTCGAATTTACGTAGATCATTCTCATGGCACCTGTCTCTTTCATCTGATCACAGTTATCCCCCTGTGGCACATACTACATAGAATATTAACAGTTTAACAGTATCTGGTCCTACGCTATCATGCCTGCCTGAAATCTGATAATGCATTACTCATGAGCTGTACATTGTACATTAATGATCTGGCCTCTCTAATCTAGTGCCAATTATGCTGTCATTTGTCTCCATCCTTCACCATCCTGCTACAACCAGAGGTTCTCTTTGCACTTCCACTCTGGAACATCTTGAATCATAAGTTAAGCACAAACGCAGATAATTTGGTGTGCCTTCTTGATTCATGGTCTTGTTAGATGTTTCTATCTGTATTAGGTATTTCGACTCTTTCCATTGCAGTTTGGGATCACAGCATGATAATCAACAAAGCTTTAGGTGAACTGGGCCATGCTTTGTTAATGGTTCTTATCATCTTATGTTTATGCAATGACTTTATCTACTGGACTATGTTTCTCTCATGAATGTACAGTAATGCAATTATTCAAGTTTTCTACTTGTATCTTTCCTCTTTTTCACATAAGTTATTGCTACCCTGAAGCTCCTTGATGGTGTACCAGAGGGATGGATCCTAAAGGGCAAGCAACCAGGGTGTTTGATATAATAGCATGTGTAATGAATGGTTGATTTGTTAAGTGTGCAACTTGTATGTATTACATAAGAATTCTTAGGTCATTTGTTGTTTAGTGAGCATCACTTGGCATGCCATTAATGAACATCATGAGAGCATTTCCCTAGGGCAAAAATTCATCATTGCCTTTTGCTTTTATATCTATTTGGACTTAGTGGTACCAACACCATTCCAATTTGGTTTTCCAGCATGCAGCTAGATACCTTGCCAATCAGGAGTGGGTTAAGAATGACTCCCTTAAGACTGTAGAAAATACAGCTGTAATACTTCTTCCTTTTTGACTACTCAGTTGATTTTGCTCTTTCATCTAAATATCTATTTCTTCAATTATCTGCTTAACATGCTACACCTTTTCTTTTAGATACCTATTATCATGCTTGTAGCTGAAGTTCCTCTTGATCTTAGTGCTACTACTGGAAAACTTTCAAATGTGCAAACACCAAATATAGAATCAACCCAAATGACTGGCAAACTTGACTGTACCACTCAGTCTGATATAATGGGTTTAAGCAACTCTTCTTGGCCAAAGTGCTCATCGGTGGAAAATGATAATGCCATGGATGTCAAGTCGGTTCGTCTGGATATCAGTTTTAAGTCACCATCACACACGGGACTCCAAACTACAGAGCTGGTAATTAGCATAGAACTTTGGATTCTTTCTTCTTTTTTTTTTTTTTGGGTTTTCCAATAGTTTGCTATGGAACTTAAAATTTTATTGTCTGAAGAATTTTCTACTCATCAATGAGGTACTCAGGTTTCAGTCAGTTATGGTGATGGTATCAAATGGAGTTTCTGCTAATGTACAGCTGATAGTCCGCCTATCTATGTGAGATTAATTATAGTTTTTCTTTATTAAGAAAGCTAGTCAATTTCTCCATGCGCAAGGCATGTGGAGGGCCTCATAACATGAAATGAAGCACAAGGGAGGAGCACTGACATCTCTAGTGGGAGATAGAAAGATGTTATAAATAAGAGAATTAAACGTGCCATCTACTATTTTTGTTAAAATTGTAATGCAAGATTTAAGTGAATAATTCAACTACAATTCTATTGGATGTGATAATAGTGGTATTCAAAGTGCCATCTACTTGGGGTTAATAGGGTTCACATGTACTGGGCTCAATTGCAATTTGAAGTATGTTAGGAGAGGTAGTAGATACTAACCTCTCCATATGATGCTTGACTTGTTTACTTGTTTGTACATAGATACTAACTAGCACTGACTACACTTAGTCCCATTTCACTGATATTGTGTTCTACTTCATTACCCTCTATAATTCCCAGAACAATTTAAAATTTCAATAGTAGACAAGAAAAAACTTCTAAAAACAGATTGATCCCCTTTGGGAGCCTCAACAAAACTTCTGGCACCAAAAAACCTTCACTCGGAGACATTCCTGTCCTCTTGGGAACCGGTATAAATAGAAGAGGCTGCTGCTCCTTCCAAACACCTCAGAAATCACTAGAAATTGAACTGCCCCCTTCAGAAAACATCGGAATCCGGTAAAACCTGAGCGCCTCTTCCTAGGTCAAAAATAAAGAGTCCTACTTCTATCAGGACTCTTGCTCCTCCAGTTCTTCCTGGTTTCGGTGATCAACCCAAGATCTGACACAAAGGGTTCTAGATCCACCAAAAAAATCCAAGAACTGAGCCCTTTTGAAATCTTCGATCAGCTCTCTAACTTACCATATAGTCGGCTGAACTAGGGCTGCAATAACATAAAAACGTACATAAACTGTTGGGCCTTGGGTCCAATAACACTAATTAAAAGGAAATAAAAACTGCTAAACCTCAACAGCGATAACTCCTCTTCCTATGGCTTTCTACCTTTCCCAATATTATCAAGCTAAATTTTGATGGTTGTAATTTGAAGAACCTAGACAATTCAGGTATTGCAGAGTTTTTAGAATTAGAAGAAGAGAGATAATTGCTTTGTATTCTGGACCTATTTGCTTTGGCGTTCAATCATGCTAAATTATTGGCTGTACTTGAAGTAGTAACTTTCTTACACATAACAATAGGCTTTAGCCACAAGTATTAACAGGCAAAAAAAAAAAAAAAAGAAAAGGAAGCAAGAATAACTTCTACTTTAGCTGCTGGCTATGGTAGAAACAGAAAAAAGAACTCTATTCACTAGTTAGCAGGACCAAAAACAAAATGATATAGGGTATGATGCTCTTTATGAGATCCATTGAAACCCTTTTATAGATCAACCGACCAAAAAGTAACATCCACCTTGGATTCTAATGTCTACTATTAGATTTCAAACAAAGTAGAAACTTCCTTTTACTGATAAAAAAAAAGTAGAAACAAAGGAAGAATTGGAAATGAGGTCAAATAGTAGACCTGCAGAAAGCATCATCAACCAGAAAAGAAGTAACTGTTTGACCAGTCAAATCTTGTTTGATCTGGCTGAAATTTGGTGGCATTAAAGTACACTTATAGTACTCTAATGCTGTAGAATTTCAGCTCAATCCAACATGTGAAAGTGCCTCAACTAAAGACTTCAAGTTGGCTAAATTATGTGTTCTGCAAGCCATGGTCAAAGTGCTAGTCAACAAGTTGACTAGCTGACTAGCATTTATTAGTAATTCTCATCATTACTATTTATAGTAAACAAGGATTAAAATATCGATACACTCGAAACCCAAAGCTAGGTATTGGTGTGTATCAATATGAATGATAGTCTCTTTAATCCAGGATTTCTAGCTGCAACAAGCTTTGGACTAAGAAAAAAGGCGGTGGGAGGTTATAACTATATCTCCTTGATCGTAACCACAGCCTCTTGTTGTACTTTTTTATTTAATTAATGAATGAAATCTTCATTTTTGTTGCTGATTGAAAAAAAAAAAGATCTGGACTGGGAAAGAAAGTGAATAAAATAAGCATGATTTAACCTGCATTCAACTGTTTTTCTTGTATTGGTGAAAAAAACAAACAAATGTACATAATGAGAACTAAATGTGGGGCTTATATGCAGGTTAGAGGACTCACTGAGCAATTTCCTGCAGCTACACCCCTTGCTTTGGTACTGAAACAGTTCTTGGCAGATCGCAGCTTGGACCACTCCTACTCTGGTGGCTTAAGTTCATATTGTTTGGTAAGTATCTATATTTACTAATGTGATCTTACATTTCAGATGTTTCTTTTTTTGGATAGTAAATAGAGAAATCCATAAAAAGAATAAAGGAGATAAAATATCAGGTGATAAGAAATCACCGAAAGCATGAAAACAAACAACACCAACATCCACCTCTTTCTAACAGCAAATAAGCAGAAACTTCTCAAGGTATGCCCATGCACATGTGAATGACTTACATGGGCTATGAATCTTGTAGGGAAGGTTAGGGTTTCAAAGAGAGGATTCTAGAGAGAGAAGATATGCTAAACATATTAAGAATTTTTAGGAGTATGGAATGAGGTTTTTTTTTGTTATATTGAAAATATGACAAATTAAACAAAATGGGCCGAAACCCGAAAGGACTTTGTGCATGATTGAGATATGGAGGATGGCTGAGGAATTGACATGGTTTTTCTAAGGTTTCTAAGTTGGATGGTTTCTAGAGAAAGAAGTTCTAGTTTAGAGTTTCATAGAAACTCAATAAAAGTTGAAGAAAGGGTGGATGTCTGGGAGAAATTTGGAGGTTGAAGGAAGATTGCATTAAAGAAATTGATGCCTTTTAATAGATGGAATTACAGCTCCATTCAGTAATTTGGTCAAACCTGTAGAAGAATAGTTAGGGTTTATGACAAAATTATCCTTATGACTCAAAACTGCAGGAAAAATTGTAAATTCTTAACCTCACCACTATGGGCTGCCAGCCTCTGATCACTAGATTTACTGAGGTGTTGCTGAACTCCTATACTCTAAGAATCCATTGAGCCCCTCTAATTGTAATGTCAGCAATGATAATCTCGGGGAAGCACATGAGGTTGTAGAGTTCCTCTCCTCCTAAATGTACCATTGGATTAGCGTTCTAAAATTTCATTTTCACATGATCTTGCCCCTCTTGTGGATGGTCAAGAGATTCCTGCCCCAAAAGGAATCATAGCATTTGGGGAAGGTTGTCACCTAAACCTGAAAAGTTGGCTTCAATCGATCTAAAACCTTGATCATGTATGCATGGTGCATAAATAAATGATTAATGAAGTCACGACTTGCCTTATGTAGGAGGTTTTTATGTGCAAAGGAGTTCAAGTCTTCCGTCTTTGTTCAGAGGTATTGATTTTCATTTGTATTGCTTCCCAAAAGAGGGCTTTTACTTTTAACTGGGTTGGGCCCAAGTAAATAGCTTTAGCAAGTTGAAGGGAATTCAAATTCTTGGAAAACATTACTTATTAAGAAAAACTTGGAAACAATTTCTTGAATTTCTGAAGGGGAGTTGTTCTCCAAAGTGTGGAATTGAGTAGGATTTGGGGTTCCTGTTGCTCTATTAGAATGCTTATGCCTAACAACTTTCACTTAGTCAATGGAATGTTCTGAAATCTGAATTATCATTGCTGACATTACAATTAGAGGGGCTCAATGGATTCTTAGAGTATAGGAGTAGCAGGTGGAGATGTCAAACCATTGAGCCCATAGTTCTGAAGGTGGCAACCCAAAAAGGTGGCATTAGAAGGTTTCTCCTCTCTTATGTGTTTTACCTTCTTCTTTGCCTTCAGAAAGACTTTGACGGATTTAGCMCAAGGCACATAATTCTCTCCATTTAGTTTAATGGAGGTCATCTGAACATTCAGGTAGTCTGTAGGCACCACCACATTAGGTTTACAATCACCGTTATCTCCCATTCTGTTATCACCGATTCTGCACACTTGCTGAATTCTATTACCACTGAATTCTGCACACTGCACACAACTAGATCACACTCGTCACACTGATTTCAGCACTTGTTGTTGCTGAAAAGTGTGCTCTTTTCACCACAAACC